TATTTCCATTTCTTCTTCCAGAAGAAAACTCTCCTGGAGCTTACTGCGTTCGATCTGGACTGGTGTACAGAATTCCCTTTACCTCAATTTGGGATACAGCCCATGAGAGATCCAGTCTTTGCTCTCCCTGGTGGAGAAACCCTTCTGTGCAAAAGGCAAGTTTTTTGGATACTGCATGTCTGAAAACACCTTTATACTACCCTCATTCTTGAACAAAAGTTTGTGTATACAATTGGAATCAATGTCACAAATAATGAAAAGGTGCCACTCTACCATCTTCTATTTTCCAGCATGCTGAGAAGACATGAAACCACTCAGATTCCTGATGTGTGTTTGATGTATTTCTGTGTAGGCTGATCTGGCTGCCATTTGCTGGGAAATCCTAGTTGTTGGCATCATTAACTCTTTCCTCTTAGGCCAGTCAGGTTTTCCCAGTGAGGTCTCTCTTAATCTCCTCCCTGGAATGGACGGGGCTGGCTGTTAGTACTGTAGAAGCCAAATGGAAGTAGAAGGCTGGGAAGTGAATGTGATCTCCATTTTTACCTCCAGGAATACCTGGAATCCTACCTTCTGGAGAAGGTTTATCCTTCAGCACAATAAATCTCCAATGTCCAGCTAAAGGGGAGAGGGTGTCACCAAGCAACATGGAGAAAGGAATCTAGGTATCTAACCACATCAGCTACTCTGCAATAATTCTTACATTTAGCCGCCTTGGATGCTCCTCTGCCCCCGAACCCCAAAATAACAATGTAGTGACACCAACTTCTCTATTTTAAACTGGGTCACTCATGTATCTCTTCCCGGCTAGCAAATTTTTTCTTGTTGTTGTTTCTTCTCCCTCCCCCTGTCCTCAGAGACTGATTCCTTTTTATTATTATTTATTTATTTATTTATTTATAAGATTTTATTTATGTATTTGACAGAGAGAGACACAGTGAGAGAGGGAACACAAGCAGGGGGAGCGGGAGAGGGAGAAGCAGGCTTCCCGCTGAGCAGGGAGCCTGATGCAGGGCTCGATCCCAGGACCCTGGGATCATGACCTAAGCCGAAGGCAGATGCTTAACAACTGGGCCACCCAGGCGCCCCGAGACTGATTCCTTTTTAAAAATTCCCTTTATCTTGGGGCGCCTGGGTGGCTCAGTTGGTTAAGTGGCCGACTCTTGGTTTCGGCTCAGGTTGTGATCTCAGGGTCCTGGGACTAAGCCCCATGTCGGGCTCTGTGCTCAGCGGGGAGTCTGCTGGAGGATTCTCTCTCTCCCTCTGCTCCTGACCCCACGTACTTGTACTCGCTCTCTCCCTCTCTCAAGTAAATAAATCTTAAAAAAACAAATAAAAATACAAATTCCTTCTATCTTAACTTCTGTGAGGTTCTATAATAAAGTAAAATTAGGCGTGTCCACTCAATCCATCAATTTACCCAGATCTCTAGGAAGACTTCAAAATATTTTTAGTTGCCATCTTTTTACAGAACAAAGTGAAAAACCAGAAAGTGTAATTTATCACCATATAAAAGAAAGGGTAAAAGAAACCTTGTAGATGTAATTAAGATGACTGATCAATTGACCTCAAAACAGTGAAATTATCAGAGTGGGTCCAAGATAATTATGTGAGCCCTGAAAAGCAGAGCTTTCTACCAGCTGAGGGCAGAGGTAGTCAGGTTCCACGCATGAGAAGGATGCAGTGCATTATTGCTGGATCTCAGCTCCAGAAGCCATGTGCACGGAGCAGGAGTTAAGGGTGGCCCTGGCCAACAGTCGGCAAGGAAGCAGGGCTTCAGTCCTACAACAGTCAGGAACTGAATTCTGCCAACAACCGGCATGAGTTTGAAAGTAGATTATTCCCCAGAGCATCCAGAAAGGAATGCAACCCTGCCAACACCTAGATGTGGACCATGTGAAACCCTAGGCAGAGATCCCAGCTGAACTATGCTGTACCTGGACAGCACCATCCACCCATAACCTAGAACCCCCACCCCCCAAGTTGCCCTTGTGGTCTCCTTACCTACCCACTCTCCAGTTGACCATTCACCAAGATTCAACCTTTCCACGTGGCTTTCAAGGCTCCCAGCCCTGGACCTGGCCCAGTCACAAGCCCATCCCAGGGAAGGGCAGCCATATTGCCAAGGGAGCTGGGGGCCCTGTTGCACCTCCAGATAGCATACCTTTAGCCCTGGACATCCCTACCACCCAAGAAGGGAGTCCTCAGAGCCCACTGGGAGCTGGGGAACATTCTCAGGCCAAAGAAACAGGCAGGCCTAAGGTGACAAGTTTAGGAAGGCAGAGGTGAATATGAAGGGGAAGAGGTTTCGGGGGGGGGGGGGGGGGGGGGGGGGGTCACAAAGGCAGGCCAGAGTAGGCTGCCTCATTGCCCACAGGAATGATGTGGCCTCAGCCCCAAAGCACAGCCACCCACTGAGAGGGGAAGGGCTCAGATCCACAGGCTCTCAACTGCTGAGTCACACTCAGAGTCAGAAGTCTCTATGTCCCACTCTAGCCCATTCCCCTCACAGCCAGGGTCTACCAGAAACAGTGTGACCTGGACATGGTGGTAGTAGCCACTCAGAGGTATCCAGAAGTTTGACTCTTCCTCAGACTATAAAGGGAAGACACTATAAAGCCACACAGGGTGTGGAGACTGGGCCACCCTCCCTTATCACGGGGTCACCGTGCCCCTGGCACACAGGTGTGGGGAAAGGGAGGTTCCCAGTGTTCAGAAACTGGAGGCCCATGTGGGGGTCCAGGAAAGCCTAGGCTACCAGCTCTGAACCCCAGCAGGCTCCCCAATGGGCCTGGTGTTCGAAGTGCCTGGTTTCCTGTATGAAACCCTGAACATAGCAAACACAGCATTAGGAGTTTCCACCACCAAAACCCACAACCCAAAACCTGCTGAGTCTAAGGCGCACCGAGGGGCCTCCCTGTTGATCTGATGAGAGGAGAGACCTTTGTCTACCTCAGTGCAGTCACCGGGAAAGCAGCAGAGGGAGGGACAGAAGTGGGTCAGAGAAGGGAAGCGGAGAGGCAAGGGCTCAGCGGGAGCAATGCTGGGCCTGGAATGGAGGTCGCCTAATCCAGTGATTTTCAAACTTACTATTTTTACTACTTTGTAAGCTACAGGAGGTTTTGTTCAAAGGAACTCTGACCCAGAAACCCAGCATGAAGACAGGCAGAGCAGGTCACTCATCTCAGGCGTCTGGGAGGAAAGGGGAGGCTCCGTGAGGTGCACACTTGAAAATAATGGGCCTGGTCCAGAGGATCCCAAATTCCAAAGAACATGAGAATCACTCAAGGAGCTTTTTCCAAACTGCACATGGAGACTAGTTCAATAGGACTGTGACAGACCTGGAAACTCACATTTTTAAAAGCTGTCTTTCACAGCAGTCAATTTGAAGGGACCCTTGCTGGCCAAATCTGGAAGATATCTGAGCATCAGACTAAACAATTATAGTAAAGGATTTTAACTCACTGAATAAAATAAGAATCCATGAGTCCACTCAGATATACACAAATACATGGATAAATAAACAAATGGAGAAGAGAAAGCTCTTCTTTACAGGAGAATGCCAAATGATAAATGTAGAAGGAATTAACGGAATTAAAATATCACTGTTCAGCAATCATGACAGAAAGAATTGTCAAGAATCATCAGTGGGTTCTGTTTTGGTCCGTTACAGCTGCTACAACAAAGTAGCACAGACTGGATAGCTTATAAAGAATGGAAATTTATTTCTCACAGTTCAGGAGGTCCAAGATTAAGGCACCAGCATGGCCGAGTCAGGGCCCTCTTCCTGGTTCAAAGCTGGTACCTTCTGCTGTGTTCCCACGTGGTAGAAGGAGCAAAGAGCTCTGTGGTGTCTCTTTTAAGGGTGCTAATCCTCTTCATGAGGGCTCCACCCTGCAGACCTAAGTACCTTCCAAAGGCCAGTCAAATCGGGCACTGATTTCAATATGTGAATCTGGGGGACACAAACATTCAGACAGTAGTGGGCTCTAAAATTAGTTGATGAAAGTTTGATGAGAAACAGCATGTTTGCATCGTCTCAAAGTATCTCCCAATAGGACACTTATTAATTACAGAGAACATAATAGTAACTCAGCAGTGGAGAAACCCAGCAGATACCACCCTATTAACTAAGTCATTGCTGTTTCCATCATTGGTAATGAGTCAAACCAACATGGGTCCCTCCTGAGGGAATGTACTGAGAAGACACCTCATTTCTGTGGTATTCCTGATGAAAATGCAGAACATGAATCTAATCGTAAGGAAAAATCCAAGAATTCAAATTAAGGGAGATTCTACAAAATAACTGGCCTCAAGTCAAAAGGTAGAGCTTGTGGCCATTTTCCTTAAACAAACAAACAAACAACAACAAATGGAAATACAACCTTAGGACAAAAAGCAAGCCCGGAGCCCAGAGAGAGACCTTGAGGATGATTCATCAGGCAGCTCATCCACCGGCATCAGCAGCACGGAGACAGTGCAGGCCCACCCAGCTGAGGCAGGGCTTAGTCACCCACAGCTGCTGCCCCCCAACTTCTCAGAAAGCTGGGTGAAAGGAGGCCTGGCACCTTCCTGTCTTCCCAGCTGCTATCCCCTCCTTCGTGGAAGGTGAAGCCCGCGGCTTGCAGGACGGGGAGCCCCTGCTGCCACGGTGCATGGTGCCCGATCATCACGGCAGGCCCGTCTCTGAAACCCTAAGTGCACGTGAAATGTCTACACCCCGAAGCTGGTTGTACACAAGATGTAGAGAATCTGGGCCCAGTTCACAGTGACATCTTCAATGGGGACAAGACCCCAGGAGGCCAACACGCCTCCGAGTCTAGACCTCAGGAGGATCTGACCGGGCCCTCTGTCCACTCTGAAATTCTCAACTAAGGGCCTGGGGCCCAGGCTCCCTCGAGTGAAGATGATGTGCGGAGCAATCCATCAGTGCGCAAACTCGCTAGGCCGGTCCCTCCCCATGCAAAGGCTTTTGTTGTGGAAGACAAACACCTCCGACTTACTTCTGCATGTCCGGACCCCTGCTGCATGCAAGGCGCCCAGAAAGAGGCTGTGGAGGCCAAGCACTCACAGCGAGACCGGTGCCTGACTCAGGGGGCTGGGGACACACTTCCTTCTACGAAATCCGGCATCAGGAAGGTGCTGGAGGGCAGGATCCTGCACAGGAAGGGAGGAGGAGGCGGGAAGCCAGTCAGGAAATGCTCTACAGAGATGATGCTTTAAATGTGAACGAGATGAGCGCTCCACATCGAAGACAGTCACCAACTTGCCCTGAGATGGGGACACTACACTGTAGCGCAACACAGACCAACCATCTCACCCACAAGACTCTCCAAGGCCATCAGCAGCACAGTCCCCGGTGTGTGCCCCGCTCCGGGCCGGGCCCTGCCAACAGTATCATGACACGCCCACATGGCTGCCCCCGCAGAGCTGACACAGCTGGGGCCCTACCCACCACGGATTTTCCAGATGATGAGTGGGCCCACTCGTGGGGAGGTAACAACTCTGCTCTAATGACTGAGTCTTTGCCGCCATTGGCGGGGGGGGGGGGCCCCAGTAGGTACAAGGATTTGACTGCATGTCTCCTGTAGACCTGAAATGTTCTCTTTGTAGGAGTTTGCCCCGCCCCCGCCTGCTCGCCCCCAACACACACACACACACACACACACACACACACACACACAC